TATGTAACTGATGTTATGAATCCCAAGGTGGACATTTATTCCAGCAACCAGGAAGAGGCCATCCATTAGCAAACATTACCTGTGTTGCACATAAAAAACATGATAATGATAAAACTGAATCACTTAAACTTCTCAGAAGTTGGCTGTGCAACATAGTAGCTAAGGCAAATGATAACACATTTAAGAATCGCAGCATCATTACTATGAGTTTTCCAAAAACCTGAGTCTACCATAATTGAGCTGCAACTTTATGCCCACTCATGATTAGGACAATACTAAAAACAAACAATATGCTTCCAAAAAGTGCTCTAATAGAAATAACAGCTGAAAACTCTTATGAATTGGGAGTAAATATAGGAACATGCATATTAATATTGAGTTCACATAATGTTGTAAAAAACAACAAAGATGATTTAGAAATGCCCACTTCATTAGACAATTACAAAAAAGCACTTCCTCAAATCCCAACACATATTATATTATGCACTTTTTTTGCTTAACAGTCAAGGTCAATAACAACAGTTCAATAATGATAATTTACTTCATAAGACTATCAGATTTACATGATGCTATTATTTATGCTGGCTTTATTATGCATTAGTGTACTATTATGTTACATGCTGATTTTGCTATCTATATCTACTCTACTACATGCAAAGCCACTGGGGCACATATGGGAAGAAAAGATCACAAACTTGTTTCAGGTCATCATACTGACACCTTAACCTATCTGCTGCTTTTACCATGTCATTCCAGAACACAGAATTAAAAGCCTTGTTCCAGAAATCCTCAATAGATCTTGCAGTTTTAATAATGCCTAGCTTGAATGTTGGATGTAGTAATTTGAACATTGTGTGAACAAAGGAATGAAGATCATCAGATATTTGGGGTATGTGTCTTTCTAGATTATTTGCCAAGATAGCAGGTGATGCATAGGTTATGGTTCCTTCATAATCAACAAGACTAGGTAACCCAGTAGTTAACTTAATTGCAGACCCCCAGTCAATCAGCATAACATTGCCTTGTGAATCCATCATGTACATGATGTTTGAAGGCCAGACATCTCTGTGGATTATTCTCATTTTATGAATACATTTTAGGAGATTCAGGAGACCATGTGCATGATGGTGTTGAAAATTGTGACCAACCCATGTGCAAACTGGTTGCATAAGCATCATGTTCTCAGCTAATCCAATGCATTTTGGAATGTTTGGGACATTGCATTCATTCAATAATTGCAGAACCCCCTTCTCAGTCTTGTCACATGTATATATTAATATATGACTTGAAAAACAGCTTTAGCGGTCCATGTAGCTGTGCTGAATAAAGGGCCCACCAAATCAAAAATTGCAGAATCGAGTGTTCTTGTTTCAAAGCAGAGGAATGGCCATTCAAAGCAATCTGCACTACAGCTGTGTCATTATTATAATCAACTGCATACACTAGTCCTGATGAGCCTTGCCCAAGAAATCTCCTCAGAATTACTCCAGCTGGGTTCACATTTGGCATATTAAGATCAAGCAATACTGATTCAATATCAAGGATGTTGAAAAACAACCTAATACCCTCTGTGAAGGTAGTTGAATATTCTGAATACTGCCCATATTCCTATCATAGATCATGACATAAAAGTTAAATGCATCAGAGAGAAATGCTGGGAAGAATCGACATAATGGTCGAGAATCTGAATGTAGTCAATCAGCTGACCCTTGTCTTCATTGCCAAAGTTCGAAGTTTCACTTTTTCGTTGCTTCAGCTCTAGGACTGTTCGGACAAACATTGGAATAGAGGCACCATCAGATATTTTTTGGGGATCAAATATGCTGATGTCTGGCTTGAGCCCGCTGAGGTACGGATTGTTGTGAGTGTCTACTGCACTCACTTTCCATGTTTCATTCAAAATATCCACAAGATCATTGAACCAATTTTGCATTTTCGTTTCACCTTGATTTGGTTCGGGCTTGTCAATCGTGTTCAAGTATGTGCTGACCTCATCAGGAGGGACTTTTAAGTTGGTCGATTTCCATCCATCACAAAAAGTCTGCAATGGTGAGTTGGTCGCGTTTAGTATTTTGGTAAAGTTGAGAACGTGTCGTGGAGCCTGGTACATTAAAAAAGATGAGGTTTAGTGAAATAAAGTACCACGGCCCGCAGCTGGCTAACAGCATACCTTTTTCGCGTTCACGTTCTTGTTCCAAAATCATCCGACGGGTCTTCTCTTGTTCGACTTGCAGTTCGAAACGTTTCTGTTCAGTCTTACGGTTCTCGACTTCAAGTTCGTTCCGCGATTTTTCAAGTTCGATCACTGCAAGGAAAGGACATGGTTAAACTCATACTTTCATCGAAACAACGACGCTTAGATAACTTGTTTCGAATCTCGAGGTCTGTGATCATAGCTTCACAACAAATATAGAAACACACAACAACACTATGTACACACAACTCTAAGTCCCAAATACCCGAGTCATAAAGTCGTTACCTGCAGGTGCTAGTGCAGAAAGCCTCTCCCGCATCAACTCCACATGCTTCGTACGGCTTGCTTCCCCTCATGTAACAACCAATAATAATGCAGAACTTAAAAAATCTTGTTGAATTAATACAAGAACTTCTTGTGTCATGGCCTGACCCTGCTGCTATGCATGGAAACATAAATTCTGATGCAAATCAGGCTGTTCGTGCCTCATGGATTGG